TTTTTTTAATATGCTTTTGTATTCTATTGGCCAGTATTTTGTTAAGGATTTTTGCATCAATGTTCATTAGGGATGTTGGTCTTTAGTTCTCGATTCTTGTGGCATCTTTGCCCGCTTTAGGTCTCAAAGTTATGCTAGCTTCATAGAAAGAGTTTGAGAGTTTTCCGTCTTTTTCTGTGTTCTGGAAGAGTTTGCATAGGATTGGTGTTAGTTCTTCCCTGAATGCTTGGTAGAATTCTCCTGTGAATCCACCTGGCCCAGGGGATTTTTTTGTTGGTAATCCGTTGATTACCTTGTCTATTTCTTCCATTGCTATGGGTCTGTTGAGGTACTAGACATCCATCTGGGAGGGAGCCTAGGGAGGGATTGTATTTCCAAATATTTGTCCATGTCTTCCAAATTATTGAATGCATTAGAGTTTAGACTTTCATAGTACTGTGTAATTATTCTTTTAATTTCATTAGGGTCCGTAATAATGTCCCCTGTTTCATCTCTCATCCTTGCAAATGTAGTTTGTTCTTTCCTTTCTTTGGTTAGGTTTGCCAGAGTCCTATCAATTCTGTTAATTCTTTCAAAGAACCAACTTTTAGCGGCATTGATTTTTTTCCATAGTTTTCTTGTTTTCCCTCTCCTGTTTCTCGGCTCTGCTTTTTATTATATCTCTCCTCTTGCTATTAGTAGGGTTGTTCTGCTGACTCTGCTCTAATTGGTGTAAGTTTTGTGTCAGCATACCATCCACGAGTCTCTCTTCTTTTTTAATGTGTGCATTTATTGCTATCAGCCTTCCTCTGATAAATGCCTTTGCTGTATCTCACACGTTTTGGTATGTCGTATTTTCTAGAAACTTCCTGATTTCATCTCTGATCTGGGTCAATACCCACTCCTTTTGCAATAGGAAATTGTTGATCCTCCAATTGTTTGCCCTAGTTTTCTTCACCGTACTTCTGTTAATTCCCAGCTTTATGGCACAGTGGTCGGAGAGAGATGTCTGTATAACCTCTATGTGCTTGAATTTATTCAAGTTTGACTTGTGTCCCAGCATGTGGTCTATTTTCAAATATGTGCCATGTGGACTTGAAAAGAATGTGTGTGTGTTTTTTTGCATGTGGGTGGAATGCCTTGAAGATATCTATCAAATCAAGTCGTCCAAGTGTGCTATTTAGATCTCTAGCCTCTTGTTGAGTTTTTTTCCCAACGATCTGTCTTTTACAGAGTGTGGTGTATTAAAGTCACCAACTATAATTGTTGAGCCTGTGATCTTTTTCATCTTTTTGAGTGTTGATTCAAGAATTTCACTGGTCTCTCGTTAGGTGCATATATGTTTATTATGCTCACTGGCTCTTGGTCTATTGTTCCCTTGAGCATTATATAGTTCCCCTCCTTGTCTCTTGTTATGGCCTGTATCTTGAGGTCAATTTGGTCTAATATTAAGATCGTTACCCGTGCTTTTCTTTCGTTACCATTTGCTTGGTATATTTTTCTCCATCCTTCAATTCTCAACTTGTTTTTGTTCACAAGCTTGAGCTGAGTCTCCTGGAGGTAGCCGATCGATGGGTTAAGTTTCCTCAGCCAGTCTGTTAGCCTCTGCATTTTAATGCCTGAGTTCAGGCCATTGATATTCAGTGTTATTATATCTATCTGTGGACTCTGTGATGTCATCTTGTACCTTTTGTGTTGGGTATTTTCCTATCTACCTATCTTATCAGCTTGTGTTGTGTGTGTAGTTTATGTTTGCCTTATTTCCACTATTGAGTTGATGCTATCCTGGGGGATGTTTCCTCTTTGTCGTCCTATGGGTGGAGTTGTTCTATATGATGGTCTCTTATTTGCCCTCAGTGAGTGTTTATCTTCTGCCCATACTGGACTGTCAAGGATCTTTTATAGGGCTGGGTTTATTTTTGTGTATTCTTTGAGGTTGTCCTTGTCTGGGAAGACTCACCTCGTCATCTATCTTAATAGATAACTTGGATAGGTAAAGTATTCTTGGGTTTGGGTTGTTTTCCTTCAATTTTTGGAATATATTACTTCATTCCCTCCTCTTCATCGTTTCTGCTGACAGGTCTGAACATACTCTTATTGGGGTACCTTTATACATGACTATTTGATTTTCCCTACCTACTTTTATGATCTTCTTCTTTTCCTCAAAGTTGGATAATTTGACAATTATATGTCATGGTGACTTCTTCTTGGGATTCAGTCTGGCTGGTGTTCTTTCAGCCTCTTGAATGGTTGCCTGGTTTCCCTTTATTAAGTTGGGGAAGTTTTCATCAAAGAATACCCTTGCTATTTTTGCTCTTGATTTCTTTGTTGTGTTTTGTTCCGGTAGTCCAATTATTCTAATATTGTTTCTTTTCATAGCCTCAGACCTGGCTCTCGAGTTTTCTTCAGCTAATTTGATTGTCTTATTTAATTGCTTTTCCTGTTTGCTGAGGTCTGCTTGCTTGTCCTCTAGGTCACTGGTGCGCTTCTCTGTCTCCTCAAGCCTATTGGCAAGATCTGTCAATTTGTCACTGGATTTTGTTATTTCATCCCTTAACTCTTGTATTTCCCTTTGGAGCATTGCCTTTATATCCTCTATCATCTCATCTTTTTTCTGCATTGCTTCCCTCATATCCTTAATGCCTTCAAGCAGCATTTTGAAAAGTTCTTTTTGTGGCAGGTCAATATCTGCTTCTTCTATGCCCATCGTTAGTTTCATGACTTCTTCCGGCATTGTCTTCTGTTTCTCTTGCTTTCTCGTTGAAGCTGTTAGAACTGGTTGCTGTTTTCATGTTGTTTTAGAGGAGCCTTGATCCATCTTCCTGAGTCAAAAATACCTGGGCTCTCTCTTGGGGGATTCGTTTGAGATTTTCTATGAACTATCTGCCAGTAGCTGTACTGAGGGGTCCAGCTGTCATTATATCTTCCTGTGGTTTCACTCTTGTCCTGGCCATCCAGTATTCCGTTACTTGGGATGTGTGTTGGATATTCCTCTCATGGGACACTGGTTGGTTGTTCTGGGCCACGAGGGCCTTGCTTCCCTGGCTGATCTCTAAGTAGCCTTCACGGTTCTTGGAGCACCTCGGCTGGCCTGTGGTATTTTCCTCTGCGACTGAAGTCCTGAGGAGGGTGTGTGGGTATACCCACCTTGGTGTAGAGCTCTGTAGGTGGTAGGGGGATTACTGTAGACAGAGATCACCTTGGAGATTGGGTGGGTGTTCCCACAGTAGCGTGGAGCCCCACTAGTAGTGGCCATGTCTTTCCCCCAGTCACTTGTAGGACCTCGGTATTTAGGCTGGGGATGCCCCCACTTTTTGTATGGGAGAACCCCCTGCTGCTTGGTGTGTTGAAGAGGACTAGCTTGAATTCCCCAGCAGCTTTCCAGGCCTATAAATTCACATGGAAGCTCCCCCACATGGGCCTTCAGAGTTGCCCTAGGCAGAGGGGAGTGGCCTGGTGGCTGCTAGTGGCTTGTGACAGGAAAGAGAGTGAAAGGAGAGGAGAAAGGGAGAAAGAGGAAGACACAAACTGGAACAACAATGTCTATCAAACTGATACCCCCTCGCCCACACTCAACTAGATTGCACAGAGTAAAAAGAAAGGTGAAAACAATAAAAAAGGAATAAAAAAGAAAAGAAAGAAAGGAAGAAAACAATAAGAAAACAATAATCTGCTGAGGCTGTGGTAGGATAGAGATAGGAGTTTTAATAAGAGGAGGGATGAAGAAAAAGTGAAATAAGAACACAAATAAAGTTAAAAAAAAGAAAAAAGGAAGGAGAGGGAAACAGAACTGACAAAATTGATAGAGAAATAGCTGACCCCCAT